ATATTGTGTTTGTTACTTTCGTTGCAGTTTTATATGTCTTAAGTGTCATTTGGCTTGGCTTCCTATTTTGTATGGACATGCTTTTATTTTGAAGGAGAGTTAGCGCTGTTGACAGGAAGTTGTTGTTGCTATGGAAACAACGTCACGGACAAAAGGAGCGGAGATTAACGGACAAAAGTAATATCTACATTTAAAGACGGAGAAAGTAAACGATAAAGTTTAAGTGTTGGCACCCCCCGAAGAGGCACAAGCTCTTACGTTGATATTGGAGATTTCAATCAATTGAATTTGGCAGCCGCAGTGCAGCGCGGCTGCCAAAAAAAGAATATCCGAATAACGAAATTGAAAACCGAATAGTGGGCCAACGACCGAATATTCGGATATTCGGGTACAGCCCTAGTATTTATTTTCTTTATGCTGTAAATTAATGCTATTTTTAATATGAATAATGTGCCCCAAAATTGGATTCCAAATAACTTAAGTCTTGATGTTATCCACGCCACACACGTGTGCTGAGCCGGTTACTGACCTGTCTGATATACTGTATGAACATGTGTTAATACAGCCCTCAATCACATCAGAAAATGACCAATTGAATTATGATATGAGTCTTTATAGAAATACAACGTTTTGCTTGTTTCAGCTTCTTCAGGATTGATTGCTCTTGTCTGTTCATGTCACTTAAAACCCTAACGTTGTCTGCTGCTTCTGTGTTATTTGTAGTGGGTTCAGCTGTGTGTGTGAGTGGCCAAGGAGCGTGTCCAACCATCAAACACTGCAACATCAGTGACTGTGAAAACGTAGGACTGTACATCACAGATCATGCACAGGTAAATACTCCTCTATACCACCACTATCGTTCACAATACGTGCACTAATGCAGGCTTCTGAGTCCCTGTTCTCTCGTCTGTTCCAGGGCATTTATGAAGACAATGAAATCAGCAACAATGCACTAGCAGGAATTTGGGTGAAAAACCACGGAAATCCCATCATTAGACGTAACCACATCCACCACGGGCGAGATGTGGGGGTGTTCACCTTCGACCACGGCATGGTAAATACACAGCAACTGCTTCACCTCATGCATTTCACACAAAGGAACTTCTCAGACTTCTAATTCCTCTTGCTGTGTTTCAGGGTTACTTTGAGAACTGTAACATTCATAGAAACCGCATAGCAGGCTTCGAGGTGAAGGCCTACGCCAACCCCACGGTGGTGCGCTGCGAGATCCATCACGGCCAAACGGGGGGCATTTACGTCCACGAGAAGGGGCGGGGGCAGTTTATAGAGAACAAAATCTACGCCAATAACTTCGCCGGTGTGTGGATCACGTCCAACAGCGACCCAACGATACGGTGAGGATGAAGACTTCCCACAAGACACATATGAGCAAAATGTGATGTTATTGGAGACAGGAAATATGTTAAGTTCAACATGGCTGATTGTTATTTTGGAAGAAAAAATAGTTTTGTAGGAAGTTTGATGTCTCTGTCTCTACCTGCATGTTTATTCCAATGTGGTGTTTATTCCTTTTATATCCAGGGGAAATGCTATATTCAACGGTAACCAAGGAGGGGTGTACATATTTGGAGATGGACGGGGTTTGATAGAGAGTAACGATATCTATGGTAACGCCTTGGCGGGAATCCAGATCCGAACCAACAGCTGCCCCATTGTACGGCACAACAAGATCCACGATGGACAGCATGGGGGCATCTATGTGGTAAATATCCTTTGGAACATGGTTGAAATGTTACCCCTTTCCCCAGCAAGTACACTTTTCAGGTTTGAATGAAACGCTGCCCCGTCAGAGGTGCGTGACACTGATCCTGCTCTGTGTTTCAGCATGAGAAAGGCCAGGGGGTGATCGAGGAGAACGAGGTTTACAGCAACACCCTGGCTGGAGTGTGGGTGACCACGGGCAGCACGCCGGTCCTCCGCAAGAACCGCATCCACAGCGGCAAGCAGGTGAGACTAACGTGGTCTAACATTCACCCTGTAAACACACGTGGAGCAGAGATTGTCCTTAACTTGGCCGATTACTACTCTTGCAGATTCCGATTGTATTTATTTTGTAAGAGCTATAATTAACAGCATACACGCAAACCTTTTTGCGACCGATCTGTCATGGAAAACTCAGGAGTATGTTCATAAATAGACATTAGCTTTTTAAATAACTTCCCACAAATCTGTATCAAGTCAAAATATCTTCTCTGATTTTAGATAAAGTGCTCTATCTATATGACTGGACAAATACAATGCAACTCAAAAAGAATGGCACTATATCCTACTTTAATTTCCCACAAGACAATTGGTGCATTATTTTACGACACATTTTAATGTTGATTTTATTTGTTTTGGACTCGCGGGTGTTATGGATTGTGAGCTTAATGTGTACATTTGACCTGTACATGAGACTATAGGAGCAGCCACTGATCATGGCCAATCAGCTGACAACCAGTTTTTACCTGAGGCTAATCGATCGCTGCATCTGATGGTCTGATGTGGTCTCGTGTGTTTTGACTTGCACGTGTCAGAAGCAGCTGCAATGACTCGTTTGGATGCTGTAATCTCACATTTGGATTTGAGTGACAGCAATACTGTACACTTAATTCAGACTTTTGATTTCCATTCACAGTTCTTGGTTTCTTAAGGAATCTGGTTATGATTTGGCACACCATAATATAACTTTGGGTGACAGAATGTGTACAGCACCATGTATGTGTGAGTTAGAGTTGTGTATTTTTCCAAAAAAACTGAATTATGTTAAGTAATAAAAATACATACACCTTTCAAAAATGATAAAATGCTCTTTCACTAAGGCCTGGCGGTCTCAGCATCATCTCCCTTCGTCCGTCTTCTTTCTCTTCTGGGATATATTGTATATTTTGTATAGCTAAAACACTCTGACCATGCTGTTTAACAAACCTGTATGATCTTTTCTCGTGTTAACTCAACGTTGTGATCGCCTGACTTTTTCTATTTTTAGGTTGGCGTATATTTCTATGACAACGGGCACGGTGTGTTGGAAGACAATGACATCTACAATCACATGTACTCTGGTGTACAAATAAGGTGACAGCTTCCTCCAGTCTGCAGTGTGCTCTAGATCAAATGAAATGCATCTCTAAAGTCCTGAATGTTTCTGAACATTTTTGTTGATTCTTGACAGGACCGGGAGCAACCCAAAAATCAGGCGCAACAAGATATGGGGGGGGCAGAACGGAGGGATTTTAGTCTACAACTCAGGTCTGTATCTTCTATTCTGCTGCTCCCCTTGTCCCAAATGTATTGATTGTGTGTCGGCATGTCTAACCCCGATGTTTAATACAACAGGTCTGGGCTTCATCGAGGACAATGAGATCTTTGATAATGCCATGGCGGGGGTGTGGATCAAGACTGACAGCAACCCCACGCTGAGACGAAACAAGATTCATGACGGCAGAGATGGAGGCATCTGCATCTTCAACGGAGGCAGAGGTACCTAAACGCCTAAAGTCTTAAACATCACATCGATTTTGGTGCACGTCTGAAACTTGATCGTACAATTGAGCTTCATCGTTTAAATTCACACCCTGCAGTTTGTTCCTGCACATCTACAGTTTGAACCATGATTTCATTTTCTCTTTAGGTCTGTTGGAAGAAAACGACATCTTCAGAAACGCGCAGGCCGGAGTGCTGATCAGCACCAACAGCCACCCGATACTCCGCAAGAACCGCATTTTTGACGGCTTCGCTGCTGGTATCGAAATCACTAACCACGCCACAGCCACACTGGAGGGCAACCAGATCTTCAACAATCGCTTCGGAGGCCTGTTTCTGGCCTCGGGGGTCAACGTCACCATGAAAGGTAACGGCTGCTTTTTGGACATTACCGCTCTGACCGGCCTGGTTCCAAGCTGTTAGGATCTGCTTCCTAATCTCATTTCCTGCCCCCCCCTCTGTCAGATAATAAGATTCTGAATAATCAGGATGCTATTGAGAAAGCAGTGAGCAGAGGGCAGTGCCTCTACAAGATCTCCAGCTACACCAGCTACCCCATGCACGACTTCTACAGGTAGGCTGCGACGCATATAGGAAATCAAGTAGAGGTGAAAGGAATAAGATACTATGTATGTTTAACCAGTTTTATAGTGTATTGTTTTTAGTGACAGTTAAACAAATACCTTTTTATAAAAGTAATTGTTTAATTTCCAACAAGAAGTTGAAGTAAGTTCTAATATATATATTTTTTTATTTTATTTTGTAGACCAGCCGATTGATTAAATGTTTGCATTTAGGAAACATGATTTCATTTGGTAATCGTCTAAATGTACAAGAATGGCCATATGTCTGCCATAAATCAATTTGTTTCCCTTCTCTCCAGATGTCACACCTGTAATACAACAGATAGGAACGCCATCTGTGTTAACTGCATCAAAAAATGCCACCAAGGGCACGATGTAGAATTTATACGGCACGATCGGTAAGACATGTTTTGGTTCCTTTCTGGAAATTGTTCTAATGACTACCACTTCATGGAGGTAAAAAAGAGTGTTTTATAATCCCTGACATTTATTCCCTTTAGGTTTTTCTGTGACTGCGGAGCGGGAACGTTGTCCAACCCCTGCACGCTGGCAGGAGAGCCCACGCACGACACGGACACTCTGTACGACTCTGCGCCGCCCATCGAGTCCAACACGCTGCAACATAACTGAAGGCGTCCGGTCCAGTTACACCCTCCCACATAAGCATATAAACACATTACGTTGCACACAGCCATACGCACGCACACGATGACACGCATTACACACACTCATCAACTCGCAGCCATAAGGACCCAGAGAGACTCTGTGATTGCGGCGCTCTCAGATGGGATGGAGGTGGAAGAGGCTGCAGAGGAAGCAGCTTCCGCCCCGCTGCACGCTGCAGGCACACACAGACTCCTCAAGAGGGAGCCGTGGAGCTGAGAGTAGACAGAACGGCCACAAGAGATTCCTCACTGAGTATTTCTTATTGCAGTCTGAAGACAAAGATGGGAAGGGGCTCGGTGGCAGAGTGTGAAGTTCCCCCCGGTGTTCATCCTCGGCTCCCAGCCCACTTCTTTTTCCTCACAAGAACTGCTGTCAAAGTGACGTCCTGCTTCCTCGCAGCTGCCATCCCCATTGGCTGCCCAGTTGTAATTAGGCAACGGATGGGCGGATGTTGCTCTCCAGTGTGGATAAAGAGAAAGATTGTGTGTGTGAGACTGAGCACTTGGGCTTTTTAAAAAAAAAAAAAAATGTTCTGATCAATGGATTTTATTTCAATGCTTTCTCATGTAGTTTTGTATTTTCAAGCAAAAAAGCTGACTGTATTTGATTGTCTTTTATTTTATTATATATTATTATTTTTCTTTGGTTAGCATCCCTCCTCCCACTCCAAGGCAAAGTGCAGAAACTCAAATGTCCCAGTGGTGAAGTTCTTTCTGTGAAAGAGAATCTCGTTTAAACACTAAAAACCCTCTCCGATATATTAGCTAAAATGGCAGGTGGGGGCTTACCCTTGTATAAAGGTGTGTATGTGAGTGTATTGTGTACAGTGAAAGTTGTGTGTGTGTGTATATGTTTATAAGTTGATGCAGTCAGTGTTTTGAGGAGAGGGTTTCCATAGGAGGCATCGGAGCTCCTTTGAACTGGAACTGATGAGTCCCTCTGCAGACGTCCCTACCCTTCCTCCCCCCGTGTATCGTGGTGACTGTGGCTCCTCATGCAGCCTGAATCGTATGCATGTACCATAACATCTAGACTTAATATATTGTGAGTATTCAATAACCATTATGTAGATGCTAGTTGGAATTCAAAAAGGGGTATACTTTCTTAGAAAGACAAAAAAGAAAACGGGAAACTGGCCATTTCTAAGAAAATAAAACTTTATTAGATCACAGGTGTCTGTCTTTAAATTCCTGTTGTGGTGGTTTTCTGCTGAAGAATCTCAAATGTGTGGACATGCATTATGTAACAATCTGCTTTTATAAAATGGCAGTAAAGGGGGAAAGAAATACAACTCAAACATATCCAGTAATACTTTTTTATTGCAAAACTATACATTAAAGCGCTCTAGTGTGGTTACTTAGAGCACATGAACTAAGAGGTTTCTTGATTCAAACTGTTTTCACAGGAACACAGCGTGAAAGGATCTCTGTGATATATGTGTTGTTTTTGGAGAGGAGCTCCTGCTTCATCTTCCTCAGCGCTGTCTTCACCTCTTCTTCACTCATGGTGGCAGCAGGGAGAGACTTGGCCTTCTCCAGGAACTCCTGGATCAGGGTTTCCCCGTCCTGAAGGAGACAGGAGAGCACATCAGGTCAATTGTTCCTGAGGGATGTTACTACTGCCAGTACACCACATCTATCTGTATACAGTCATATCACTTTAATGATGCTGGGAAGCTTGATGGAATTGTACTAGGTAAGGTCAAACCTATTGCCGTTGGTGTACAATTTGTATCTGTAAAATGTCAATTCCTAGGGAAAACCAGCTTTTCAGCCTCAAAACAACATTTACTGTATGTATTTAAAAAAACAAGTATAGTACATCATAAAAATGGTAATGCCATATATTCTAAAACGTTTGTCCTAAATTGCCCTTAGACTCTTTCACACCAAGCACTTTGCCGCACTTATTACCCCAGGGCACTAAGTACCAATCGCGTTCACACCGCAGTACTTTTCCCTGAGGGAAGATTACGCAAATAAGCCGCTGACTTCTTCTTCTGCTTTGGGTTTACTGGCAGGCCGCAAACAACTTCACGGCGTATACTGCCACCCGAAGTCCCCGGAGTTGGGGACTGGCTTCTACTGAAGCCGGAACGCCGACACCTCCTCATCGCTCATGTTTTTTTTTGTGTTGCCATAAGTTATTCTCTCTCCGTTGGTGCGCGGGGCTAACGCTAATAACGCTAATGCCAGCAAATACAATGGCAGCTTTACGGGGCGTGGTTTGCAATTTGCCCAGCCAATAGAAATTGGTACTTTTTTGGTACCACCTCTCTAGCAGGCACTAAAAATGGGGGTAAAAGTTCCCGGCACCAAGTACTCTTTTTGGTGTGAACGCGACATAAGGGGTACTAACTGAACTAAATGGGAAAAGTACTCCGGTGTGAACACGCCTATTCAGTCAGTATGTCTCAAAAACTGTAAAATGCATTTATGTATAAAAAAAGAAGAGAAGGTATGAACACTTTTTATCATTGGATACCACAAATAATATAGAATTTAGAGAAACACGCCATGCTTCTAATGAAGTTGGGGTCGGGTTCCTGTTTTTAATGAGGCCATGATGCATGATTGTATGTAGGTTGCCATGACAGCTGGACGGTGAAGCACTGAGCCCTACTTGTTTGTCCGTGCATCGTCTCTTAGCCTCGGGCCCCTTCTCCTGCTTCCCCCCCGCTGGTTCCTGGAACTCCTCCAGCTCCTCCGCCTTTTCCTTCGCCATGGCCACCACCGATGGCGGGAAGCAAGCCAACTCGGCCACATGGATACCGAAACTCTGGTCGCACACACCTGAACACAGAGTCAGACGACGGGTCAGGTCACAAAGCTTGTTACACTACATTCATAAAACTCCCCAGCCCTAAATATGTGCCCACCGTGTTTGATCCTGTACAGCATGGTGAGAGTGTTGTGTGAGGTTAGAGCGGTGACGTGCAGGTTGTGGACGGTGGACTCCTGCGCTGCCAGGGCCGTCAGCTCGTGGAAGTGAGTGGCGAACAGACAGAAGCAGCTGATTTTGGAGGCGATGTGTTCGCTTATGGCCCAGGCCAGACCAAAGCCGTCGTACGTGGACGTGCCTCTTCCGAGCTCGTCGATTATGATGAGAGAGTTCTCTGTTGCCGAGCTGAAGGGGCAAAACGTGCAATGAGAAAAATGCGTTGTGCATCATTTTAAGCTGTTAGCAATTTGTGTGTTTGTTGTTACCGCAGGATGGCAGCCGTCTCCAGCATCTCAGACATAAAAGTGGACACTCCTTTGACCTGGCTGTCTCCAGCTCCCACCCTGGCCAGGACGCTGTCAATCACACTAAGCTCCGCCTTTTCACACGGCACAAAGCAGCCAATCTGCGCCATCAGAGCGATGACTCCCACCTGACGGATGAACGTCGATTTACCGCCCATATTTGGTCCTGTGGAGACAAGAGTTATGTGTGACCATTGTCATGTGCCTTCATTCTCAGAACAAGGGGGGAAAGCATCTGAAAAAGTGTGAAGATTTACGCAAATTACAATGTTTACAGATAACAACCTGACCTCTGGGATTGAAACACAATTCTCACACACAGGGAACAACACAGAAAGAGACTTCTTTGTTTGCATTGGCTGTTGTGTGACTGATCTCTGAATTGACTGAATGGGTGAAAAGGAGACTGAGAAGTCGGTTTTTATTCTTGAATCATTTATTCCCATAAGCTTTGATATGTTTCTCAACAGACTTGCAATGAAAGTGTTTCATATGTCACTTTGGAATGCGATATCTGGTCACACCTGTAATGATGTAGAAGTTCTTCTCTCCCTGGGTGAAGGTTATGTCGTTGGGGATGAAGGCGGTGTCAGCGTCAGTCTCCATGCAGGGATGTCTGGCCTGGGTCAGCTCCATCCGCCTGCAGCCGTCCGCCAGCAGGCGAGGCCGCACGAACGGCACAGGAGCGGAGACGGACGCCACGGCGAAACTCACCACGGCATCCAGCTGCGCTATCACGTCGCTCATCGTCTGGAGAGGATCCACGTAGCCTGGTGGGTGATGAAAGGTTCAGCACTTCAAATGAATTAGCAGAGAAACAGGAGACTGCAGCATGTGCAGTAGGGCTGTCCCGAATACCATTTTTCGGGCTCCGGATATTCGGTAGTAATCAGCAGCGAATATTCGGTGCGGAGAGATCTGTATTTTTTTTTCAAATTCTTTTTTTTTTTCAAAAAGGTTTCATAACACGCTCCGAATCCGAGACACCAACAACACGCTGTTAAGCGGAAGCGCAGAAAGAGCATACTATTACGATTTATATTTATTTATTGTCTCAGTACTCGCAAACATTAAAACTAAATGTGTCCTCTGTAGGGTAACTGTAGGGTCTGCTGTATTGTTGAGGATGTGGATGGCTGGGATGCGTTGCCCAAGTTATTATTAGGCTGAGCTACTCAACTTTTATATTGCCTTAGCCCCAGATGTTCCCACATTACTACTATTATTTTCACTATTCGGATCAAATTAAAAAAACTAATATAAAAAAACAATTCGGTAGCTTGCTTGCAACTATTTTCCAAGCAAAGTAAGTGCACGTTTTTATCATGTGTAACGTTACTGTTTAAACGGCGGATAAAGCAGCTTCATCNCGCACTTCGCACGCACTAAAAAATTCCACACGCTCCGCGCTCACATTATGCTAGGCCCACGTGCCTTAGCACCGCTGCTATGACTCCATCCTAGGGGAAACACTGAATTGCATGTTTTCACTGCTCATAGGCTATGCGGGTTCGGGTCGGTTTGCGGATCTTGTGCCGTCGGGTCGGTTTGCGGATCTTGTGCCGATGGGTCGGGTCGGTTTGCGGAACTAATTGGCAATATGTGCGGGGGGCGGGTTGGGTATTGCACGTCGCGGGAGCGGGTCTTGAAAATCAGATCCGTGCAGGAAACTCTGGTTTCCATGCTTTAATGTTCAAAAAGGTCTTTATTTTTCTCATGCTGCAGCACCTCTGGAGGGAACTTTGGGATTGTAGCCTTTGCTGACCATTTACATGCAGAAAAACCTAGATCAAACACGACAGGAAAGAAAAAGCGTAATAGGGCCCTTTTTAAAACAGTTGGCGATTAAAATAATAGCTGACTGATTAGAATAATAGACTGAATAGATTAATCTTTGCAGATCTAGAAATGCCTTCATATCACAGTATGTTATTATTGCACAGCCTTATTTGGAAAATTGGTCACATTATTCATGCTTTTTACTTAAGTGAATACAAGCCTAACTTTATCGCACAAGAACAAGTAAAGCAAACACAATAGACACTTATATTATATTCTTCAAAGAAATGTAGCTATTTCAGTGTTTTGTACATTTATGTGGCTACCTATTTTATAGAGTGTATACGTTTTTGCAAAGCGTGTGTATGGTCCTTTTTCTCTTTGGGTCTGTACATGAATGTATGTGATTCCACTGATGTTTGAATTAGCGTCTGAGCTCACCGCAGTAGCGTTGTGTTTCAGGTCTGGACGCTGGTAAGACGGTGAAGCTGGAGTCTAACGCCATGCTGGGCTTCTACCTGAGAGTCACCTGCAAGGAGGAGAAGACTCTGAGGAACAACAAGAAGTTCAGCACGCTGGACGTCCAGAAGAACGGAGTGCGCTTCACAAACGGGTCAGTCTCACACACCTCATGTCCTCCTCGTATGCTCTCTTCCAGTCAGCTGACTCTGTTGTCTCGCATGTCTACAGGAAGCTGAGCTCTCTGAACGAGGAGTACACTAAGAACCGTGAGGAGTACGAGGGGGCCCAGGACGCCATTGTCAAAGAGATCATCAACATTGCCTCAGGTGAGGAACGCCATCACATGCTGCTCATCGGCATGGCATTGATTTGAGACAGAAGACGTTACGTCGGCACGATGATCCAGGATTTGTCTTATGTGACCTTCTAGTAAATGATTTCATGCACATTTTCTACAAAGGGCAACACACTGTAGTGTACTTTAAACAGAGAGTGGAATAACATTCTAGTCAGATGGTGTTCTTTAACCAGATACACATCTTTTCGGAGCCTGCTCATTAGGGCTGTACCCGAATATTCGACTATTCGAATATTCCTTCGTTGGCCAACTATTCGCGTTTCAATTTCATTATTCGGATATTCCTTTTTTTTTCTTTAAAAAAAAAAAAAAGAAATATATATTTTTTAAAATATTATTTTTTCTTCTACATGTATGCTATTAATAAAGACGAATTGCCATATTCTTATACTATATTTATACTTTTGAATTGCACTGTTAAAATGCGGAAATATATACAATCTCAGCCTGTGCTCCTGACATCGCTCGCGTTCACTCAGTCACTAACGCAAACCGCACGCTTCACCTCGCTTCACCCACAAAATGCCGAAGACTTCAGCAGTGTGGGACCATTTTAAATTGGACGACGGTAAGAAGAATATGTGCCAAATATGCGATAAGAAACTGGCCTACCACAGTGGCACAAAAACTCTGAAAAGTCACCTGGATGCTGTAAGTAGTAGCCTAGCTTAGCTTAGCTGTTGTCAAGTTGCCATGATGAAGCTGCATTATCCGCCGTTTAAACAGTAACGCATGATAAAAACGTGCACTTACTTTGCTTGGAAAATAGTTGCAAGCAAGCAACCACATTTTTTTTTATATTAGTTTTTAATTTAACCTGAGACTGCCAAGGCACACAGNAGCTCTTGAGGCATAGTACCAGGGCCGGTTCTAGCCAATTTGATGCCCTAGGCGAGATTTTATATATAAAGAATAAGTGAAAAATCTTTTCTTTTGTAGAGATTTTTCACTTATTCTTTATATATAAAATCTCGCCTAGGGCATCAAATTGGCTAGAACCGGCCCTGGTACTATGCCTCAAGAGCTTTTCTTGTGCTGTCAAGACACATAGAAACAAATTGGCGGGGCGCACTTCGCACGTGCACACACTAAAATATTCCACGCACTCCGCGCTCACATTTTGCTGGGCCCACGTGCCTTAGCACCGCTGCTATGACTCCATCCTAGGGGAAACACTGTCTACTTATTATATCCATTAGCGCAGCTAGCACCAGATTCTAATAACAACAGCGCCACCGTACCGGGCAAATTAAACGTGTAACCGGGGTGAAAAGAGTGTTACATTTACTTAATTATGAATGTTGTTACATCAAGGCCGAACATTTGGATGAGCACCAACGGTCAAAAATGTTTTTCCCTCCCAGAGCTACCAGCACAGCGCCCCCCAGATCTGGCGCCCAAGGCGACCGCCTGTGTCAACTATGCCAGTAACACAAATACTACAAATCCACATAAACAATCAAAAATGAAAAAGGGTCGCCACTTATTATTATTTTAAGAAAAAAAAAAAAAGTAAAGAAAAAATATATATATGCGCCGCCACTATTTGTATATAGGGGAAACACTGTTATTAACACACGCAGTTGCGTATTTGGCTCAAAAAGCGTGGAATGTTGGTTATTTTCTCCATCTAGGATGACACCAAAAGCCTCCCAGACGTTGGATTTCGCTCTTGAGGAAGAGTTATTGACAATGCTGTATTCTCCGAGCTTCGCCTTCACCTCAGCCATTTCGAATGTGGCGCGCTCGGCAGCAGATTGATGCGCTGCAGAGGTTAGGATTATGCGCGGTCCCGCAGGGGATAGGTCTGAGGATTTAAACATTAAATTATTATTATTATTTGTAATATATTTATTATGCAACACCCGCGACCCGACCCGCATCTTCTTTGTTTTACCCAGAACCGAAACCGGATTTTATTTTATTTTTTAAATACCAGTGTTTAGCCGCCAATCACTTTTTTTTTTACGCACGGGTACCCGACAAGATGCAGGACTCTGATGTAAACATGTCACAGCAGAGCCACTAAATACAAGTATGAACCGGAAAATTAGCAAAATTAGCACAGTTTTAACAATCATTTAGTCAGTTTGACATGTTATGGTTTATCATAAAAATGTCTCAACAGATCTGAGTTACTGCCATCACACATTTCCTGGGAGAAGGACATAAGGGTGGCAAACTAAATAAAGGTCTCAATCAAATCAAAATGTGTCATACAAAGTCAAACGTTTCGATAGTTCCAAGTCAAATGTAACAACATTAATTTCACGGTGTTGGACAGATGGCTGCTGTTTAGGAGGCTTTCTGACCGTCTGTGGGAATCTGCCACAGAGAGATCCTCCACACTGATAAACCTAAGAGTCTATACCGTCTGTACTAGGAGACACAAGATGAGTTATCCGTCAGGAAAAATTGATTTGTAACACTGGGTGGTCTGGCTGCTCAATGGAAAATTGTGTTGAATTTGACGATAAGAGCTCCAACCTGCTTTAGCTGAAGCAGTAGGAAGTGTTTGTTTTTTTTTAAATAAAAAAACTACCATGATGAGTATATTAATAAAAACTAATGCTGTCAAAAAAAAATTGCGTTAAAATATTTAACGCATGTGCAGAATGGCCCGCCCCATACATCCCACCAGTGGCAGCGCCAGGGTATGGCTGGGGTAGGCTACACCCATACCAAGAAATGGCTTAGCCCCACTATGAAAAATTATGTTAAAGTAAGCTAAATAAAGTCCGCCAACTCGCGCCGAGAATTGCAGAGACAGCAGTAAGATTGATTTCAGTAGCCACTTGTCTGGAAATACCGAAGACCAGAAACGGTTTTGAAAACTTTTGTCACGTAGTGATCGTCTTCTTAATAGAACATCTTTGATAATGTCTTCTGGCCAATCAGAATCAAGATAACGGCGTGGTGTTGTTGCAGGAAGTCCCGACGGAGAATACTTTTGCTGTAGTACAGTGGTGCACATAACTGGTACGCAGGTTATGTGCGTAATCTGAAATGCGTACCGTCACTTGTGTCACAAAGCGCATTTGCGTACAGATGTACTTGTGAAGCTTTTCCAGAAGGCGGTTAGATCACCGGACGACAGCGTCGGTCTCCGTGTGCACAGACAGGGCTGCTGTTAATGTCGGCCTGTATAACGGAATTGTGCCAAAATTACGCCAACCGGCTGCGGAGGGAGACTCCCCCCCTTCACTGGAGAACTGCGCTAAAACAGCTGATCACAACGTTCACAGTGGTCACGAAGTACTCCATCAGCCC